CCGATACCCCGACGATGCTGGTCCTGCTGCTCGCCTCACCCTGCTTCTTCTCATGATCCACTTCTGCTAGGCTATCCTCAACCTGGTGAGTGAGAAGGGGTCAGTCTCGTCGTTACTTCCTAATGTCTTTGCCCTAGGCAAACTCCTTACTAAACACATTATTAGGGGAATGCCTTCCTAGCATGAAAGTCGTTCTCGCCTTCTGCTCTTAAAATAACCATTCTTATCAACTCATTTCAACATTAACTCCTAAAATTTCTCGACCTCTATCCTTATCTCAACACAAAACACTAGGACCACCGCGTTACGTCTCGCCGTCCGGTGTCCTACCCTAGTATGCCAACCGCGTTACATCTCGCCGTCCGGTTGCATACCCAAACCCGGCAATGGCACTGCGTTACGTCTCGTCGTCCAGTCCATGCCCGTCAACTACTGCGTTACGTCTCGCCGTCCAGTAGTGACCCAACCGCCCGAGGGTTCCTCATACCATCAATCCATACAACATCACACACATTCATACATAGCACAACGCGTGCCTCCACCCTTACAGGCGGTGGGATGCCTCACACACACATCGCGCATTACTCAAAATTAACTCATAATAATAACTTGAACGAAAAGCGGAAACTAAAAGACCTACGACAGAGATTTTACCCCCTTTACACTCACCTCTTTAGTTGCATCAACGTATGCATTCTCACGCTCAAGCCCCGCGCGTTTTTCCTCTTTTGACTCCTCCTCTATCGGTTCATCGTCTTCCTCTTCAACGACCCTAACCATTGGAGCTCCGCCGCCATTCTCTTCAAGGTCCCTCCTCGGGCCACAATTCAGCGGCCAACTACGAACTGCCGACACCCCGAGTCGTCTGGGTGGATAGGGTCGGGGCCTCTCCATCACTTTACCCCCGCCAGTTGCGATCACCGATGTCGAGTTCTCGGCCTTCCTTCCGCCTCTAATAGACGCGGCTCTTCCTCTCCTACTAATCGGTGTGAACCTCTTCATCACGCGATACTACGAAGTTCGATCGACTGCTAACTTTCTCGCCTTCTTTCCCTCCTTAGCCGAATTATCCCAGGAAACCTATTAATAAGAAATTCATATTCTAAGACAACCTTTCTCGATTTAAAAGCCTCCTTTTTATCTACCCAAAGACCCTCTACTCAAAGTCCCATCCTCAAACCTCACTCCAAAGGTTCCTTAACTCCCTTTAAAATTTTTCTAGAAATACTCCCTTCGAAACCGACTATTTTTCTTAATTATATTTATCTTAGACGAATTTTCCACCTAACTTGAAACTTCTCAAAAATTCGGATAATAATTTTCCTAAATCAATCATGAGTACTTATACCCTGGAAATTTGTCAAACCCTTATAAACACCTCGGAAATATTTTTATTTAATTAAAACAAATGTTAGAACAATTTCTAAAAATAGAATACATCTTAAAAAATCCCTAAATTAAACTACAGCCATCTATTAGACCTCCCTCAATTTATAAAATTATTAAATCCAGGAAAAAACACCCACAGAGACTCGAAACAATTGAAAACATCTAAAACGAGTTTCTGAAAATTCCCAACAGCTTTAGTGACCACCCAACTTCTGTCACTAAAAGCCTGAACGTCTGTTGCTAAAACCTCAGAATTGCACCCTCACGAAAAATCACCAAATCGATCGAGTTCCCTTACCTCTAGGACGTACCTAGGCCTAGGTTGGATGACCTGGGACGTCGATCTCCTCGTTGATCGAACCCTCAAACGTCACCGCTACTAAAATACGAGCTTCGGATTAGACTATCGATAAAGTGAGTGCGCCGAAGTAGCCACCATATATATATATGGTTATGTCTTCGATGCACTCACTTTTTTGGGTGCATTCAATGCACCCGCCTCATAATCGTCATTCTGAGCAGACGATTCATGTGATAACGATGTCAATCATCCCTTGTAGTATGATGAACAAGAACCACATGAATTTGTACAAAAATATTCAAGATTCACTTTAATTTGAATGATTCAGGGTTTAGGAATTTAGGGTTAGGGTTAGGGCTAGGGTTTACAATTTGGGATTTTGGGTTTAGATTCAAAATTGAATGTTAATAGGTTAGGGTAATGGGTTGATTAGTTGTGATTCTGTGTTATATCATCATATGAGACTAATGCTACCCATTAAATTTTAAAATTCGATGTATTATGACCATTTTTAGAGGTGGGTGCACTGAATGCACCAAAAAAAGTGAGTGCACCGAAGTAGCCACCATATATATATATATATATTATTATTATTCATAACCCGCGGTTGTAACTCTTAGTACGTAACCGTAAACTAACCGCTCATTAAATATGGTCGAACCCAAATCTAAAACACCGGGGTGTTACACTCTGTACGGAAGAGATCCAAGGAGCACCAGTCCTTTGTGTCGGGCAGTTTTGTCAGTGTGTCTGCGCACAATTGTCGGGCGCTCTCCTCGTGGTGTCGATGCAAGACCGCCACGATTTAGTTTGCTTCTTTGTGAGATTTGTAACCATGGGCCTTGGGGCCCACGTATTCCAATACTTGGCCCAACAAGTATTTTCCCAACGCTAATGTCATGGAGGCATAATCGGTGTACAACCCCAATTTTGTGTGTAGGAGTCTCATGAGAGCGAACGAACTGTTCGCGGTAGCTCAGGGATGGAAAGTTGGGGATGGTGAATTTTTAGTAAACTGTATATGATCCACGACTGAACCTCTCCCAACAACTCGAGTTATTGGAACCAAATAGTTATGACATGGTATCAGAGCCTTCTGTGACTGAGAGGTCTTCTGTTCGAATCCCGATGAGCCCCATCTGTTTCTGTTTCTGTTAAGCACATTGATCTTTCTAGTGGTTATTTTGATTCTAGTGCTCGCCTCTCCTCTCTCATCAACATGAATGAAGCTTTTTGGGATTTAGAGGTTTTCCAAAGCCACTTTCATCCTATTGATCATGTTGCCATTCTCCAAATCCCACTCATGGAACAGAAGGTTCTGTTCCATATGAGAAGGTTTGGGCTCTAACACCTAATGATTCTTATTATGTTAGTACAAGTTATAAGCTACAGATGGAGAAGTGGACTTCACTACAAAATAGACCAATCCCTAATGATCTACCTAAGGATGCATTCTGGCATAAGTTAAGGAAGGTTGAAATACAAGATAAGGTTAAATTCTTCATATGGAGGGTAGTCCGAAATATCTTACCTATAGGAAGTAATATTGACGTGAGGATTCTTGATTGCTGTAAGGAATGCCCTTTTTGCGACTTGAAGGAAACACAGCTTCATATACATCACACCTGTGGAAGGGTGAGATGTATTTGGGAAACATGCTGTCATGTATGGAGGCTGCATGTTTCAAAGCTGGAGATGAGCAATCTTGTGTGGTCTGGATTGAGAATTTTTTTTGAATATTTCCTTAAAGATACCATTCGACGCTTCTGCGTAATCCTTTGGCAAAATTCAACAATAAGAAGCTCGAAGGAGGAGAAATAATTCAAAAAGCAATCTGTTGGGTCCAAGATTACCTGGAATTCGACTATAAAACCAGCTACCAACAACACCATACATGCTCCCAACCAGTTCAAAGATGGACAAGGCAGCAACGGGTTCTTAAACTAAACACCGATGCCGGGATATTGAAACCAGAATGGATTGGTTTTGGCGGGGCTATTAGTTACTGGAACACGAATTTATGTTTTGGTTTTGCCAGAAGGGAGAAATGATCATGCGGAGCCGTTGATAGAACCGTTCATGATCTATAACATAGAAGACATGTATAATACTTTAATTAAAATTATTCGTGGATAGATTTACAGCACCTCGCTTTGATTTCTGGCTTCGTCACCGATTAAAATAGTAAACCAATGGACTAATCAAACCGGGGTGGTGATCTGGTTTCAAGTTGAATCGTGAGAAATCGTTTCGTCCACCACTAACCGTTCGAGCAAATAAACAGAACCACTATTACAACTGATTTGACGGTTTAACTGGCCCAACTGTTAATCCGGTTCGATTCATTCTTATAACAAATTCTTTGCTAACCACCACTCACTCACTCACCATAGGGTTGCACTTATAGAGTCATCCACAGGGTGACTTAATCCTAGGGGTGGGCACGTGGGTGGTTAATTCGCGGATTGACATCGATCCACCCGCAAATAACCCGACCCGCACGTAATGGGTGATTGATGTGGGTGGATTGCGGATTGTAAAATCTCCAACCCGCACTTATGTGGGTGGATGGTGGGTGGATTGCGGGTCACTCGTATGACCCGCGTCCTATTTTTTAATGGAAAAATGTTGTTTCTTATAGTATCGAATATTTATCATATTTTCGAACTGCACTATAGTCTGACCATATACTTCAAAAAGTGGAGAATAAAGAATAGTTTTGACTAGTATTATTGGTTGTTGTGTTGTGCAATATCTATTGGCAATGGATATTGGTATGCAAATTATTGTTAATATCCATTAAATATTGGGATACAAACTACAAATTATTAATTGTATCAAAATCACAAATTATTGATACAATCTTACTAATTTGCTATGAACTTATTATAAATGTTAGTCAATTTTCTTAATGGCTAGTTGGAGAATTGCTTTTGCGGGTTAACCCACGACCCAACCGCACCCATCCGTCACCCACCCAACCCAACCCTCATAAGTATGTGGGTGAATTGCGGATGACATATATTCCAACCCACTAGTAAGCAAGTGGCTCAATTTTAGACCAAAATCCACCAACCCGCCCATTGCCCACCCCTACTTAATCCAAAATGCATATGGCCGAGATTCCTTAATCGAAGTTGACTTTTCCGGTTTCCCCCATCCTTTTTCTTTTCTATCTTTCGCATTCCTTGCATATGCATTGCTGCCTACTGATTATTGAAAGCAGCCGGCCAGCCACCGCTAGCCAACAACAGAATCTTTTTGGTTCCTTCCGACTTTCTTCAATGCATTAGCCAAAAACAGTTTGCTACTCCATAAAAGGGCAAGAGTGATTCTCCACTCACTCATCTCCTCCCAGTTCATTAAATCCCCATCCCGATTCCGCCCGCCATGGAATTCTCGTACTCAGCCATCTTCGCCTCTCTACTCTTCCTTGTCCCCTTGCTCCTCTTCAAATTCAACCGCAAATCAAACCCCTCCGGCCCCGCCGCTGCCCCGCCGCCTCCGGGACCCACAAAGCTGCCCATAATCGGGAACCTCCACAACCTCGCCGGCGGCTCCCTGCCCCACCACCGCCTCCGGGACCTCGCAAATAGGTACGGCGGCGTGATGGGCCTGCAATTGGGCCAAGTCCCCCACCTGGTCATAACCTCGGCAGAGGCCGCAAGAGAAGTGATGAAAACCCACGACGTCGTTTTCGCGCAGCGCCCCAAGATGCTCGCCGCCGAGATCCTCAGCTACAACTTCACCGACATCGCGTTCGCCCCCTACGGCGCCTACTGGCGCCAGCTCCGCAAGATCTGCGTTCTAGAGCTCCTCAGCGCCAAACGGGTCAAATCGTTCGGGTCGATCCGAGAAGAAGAGGTTTCAAACGCGGCTACCCGAATCGCTGATTCGGCGGGTCGGGAGTTCAATTTCAGCAGGATGCTCTTCTCCCTGACCCACGCGATCACCGCCAGAGTGGCTTTCGGGAAGAAGTACAATGGGCAGGACGAATTCATTCAGTTGGTGGAGGATATCACTCGCGCCGGCGGTGGATTCAGCCTCGCCGATTTGTACCCTTCGGTGAAATTGCTTCAGGTTGTGAGCGGGATGAGGTCCACGCTTCTCAGGCTGAGAGGTGAAACTGATCGGATGCTAGGGAGTATAATCGCCGACCATAGAAGCAAGGGAAGTAAGGAAGATTCCGCCGCCGGCGAGGTCGATGATTTAGTTGATGTTCTTTTGAAGCTTCAGGGTAATGGCGAGCCCGATTTCCCCCTGACCGATGACAACATCAAAGCCGTCATTTTCGTAAGAAATCAATTTTTTTTCTTTTCATTAGACATGTTTTGCTATTCGTATGAACTATGAAATATGGTTTTCAAATCAACGGATTTCAAGTTGAGTTATTTCACAATTGTGTTTCTTTCTTTCTTAAGGATATTTTTATTGCTGGAAGTGATACTTCATCGACAACATTAGAATGGGCGATGTCAGAAATGGTTAAAAATCACAGAGTTCTTTACGAAGCACAAGCAGAGGTAAGAAAAGTTTTTGGACCAAAAGGGGAAGTGGACGAGACGTTGCTTCATGAACTACACTATATGAGACTAGTCATCAAGGAGACGCTGAGGCTACATGCTCCAGTGCCTTTGTTGCTTCCAAGAGAAAATAATGAGGATTGTGAGATTGACGGGTTTCTGGTAAAGGCAAACACCAAGGTGATCGTAAACGTGTGGGCGATGGGGAGGGATCCAAAATACTGGAAGGAACCTGAGGAATTTCGTCCCGAGAGGTTTATCGACAGTTCAATTGATTACAAAGGGTCAGACTTTGAGTTCCTGCCATTTGGGGCTGGGAGGAGGATGTGTCCCGGGATGGTGTTTGGAATGGCGAATGTTGAGTTGCCATTGGCCAAGTTTCTGTATCATTTTGATTGGGAGCTGGCAGGTGGGATCAAGGCAGGAGATTTGGACATGGAAGAGTCGTTTGGAGCCACTCTTACCAGGAAAAATGACCTGAAATTAATTCCGATCCCATACCAGCCAAGTTTATGTTATACATAGGAGGAATAAATAAAAAATTAAGGTTGTTGTTACGGTAATACGCTACACCGGTTGATTACTAAACTTACCTAAATATTCTGGATAGCCATAAATCATTCTATTTGAGAAAGACAATCTTAACAAAACAACACAAACAAACATCCTTCTCAAGTCTTCTAATAGACAATGCATAAAATTTAGGGTTAATACCTTATTTTGGTCCGAACTGTGACCATATAATCAATTTTGACTCGTGGTTTTAAAAATTAACATTCTGGCCTCAACTTTGCAGCATATAGACTCAATTGGCCCTACACATGGTTTGACCGTCAATTTGGACGGTCAACACGCCATGTCATTGTCTCGCCAAACTAAAAATCATTCAAAAATTCAAATTATTTTCTTAATTTCTATTATTTATCATTATCAAACTAACCAAAATATAAAATTATAAAAAAATATTAAATAAATTTTAGTTTTTATTTTTTGGGTAATTTGCAAATGAATTTTTTTATAAATTAACCAAAAATTATCAATTTTTAAATTTTTTTTAAATGTTATTTGGGTAGCTCTTCAAACTTATTGTTGATATGAATTGAATCGGACTATCAGCCGCTACGACTGGTAATCGGGGGTCTCGCTGACCGGTCAGCGAGTGGGGTCCAGGGGCAACGCCCCAGTGGGGGTGCGGGGACAACGCCCCCGACCCACGGTGTATGGGCTCAATGTTATTTGAGTTCGGGTTCTGAGCCTGGTCTGTAACCGTTTCCTTTGCCAGATTGGATTAGGTTTAGACCCACATGGAGAAGTACTATAAATACTTCTCATACTCCTCTGTAATCTGTAATCTCCTTGATATAGTGAAACTGGCTCTCTCTCGCCCGTGGACGTAGCTAACACACTTCGTGTTAGTGAACCACGTAAATCGTGTGTCGTGTTTTCGATTCTCGCTTTCGTATTCTTGCTTTGTCGATTCCGACGATTTCCCGATCCGTAGCAGCGCGTTTATAACAAGTGGTATAAGAGCCGCGGCTGGAAATCAGGCTAGGTTTTTTTTTCGATTAAGAAGAATGACGTCGGTGAACATGAAGATCGAAAAGTTCACGGGGAAGAACAGCTTCGCTATATGGCAGATCAAGATGCAGGCTTTATTAAAACAGCAAGGGCTGTGGGGGCCGCTGTCTGCGAAACAGAAGAAGGCAGCGGTCGATGACGATGAGTGGAATACCCTGGAGGAGAATGCCCACTCGATCATCATGCTATCGTTGTCTGATGACGTCATCATTGAAGTCGCTGCTGAGAAGACTGCCGCGGGCTTGTGGTTGAAACTGGAAAGTCTGTATATGACGAAGTCTCTAACCAACAAGCTGCATCTCAAGCAACGGTTGTTCAGCTTGAGGATGCAAGAAGGTACGCCTTTGAGGGAACATCTCGAACAGCTTAACTCTATTTTGCTGGATCTGCGTAATATAGATGTTCAAGTTGATGACGAGGATGCTGCCCTAATCCTGCTGGTTTCTTTGCCGAGTTCATATGAGAATTTTGTTGATTCTTTTATTGCTGGTAAAGAAAGCGTGTCGTTAGAGGATGTCAGGTCTGCTCTTCATACGAGAGAGATCAGACATAAGGCGTCCGGATCTGGTACAGGTGGTGAGGCATCGGGTTTGGCTGTTACAGGTGGAAAGGGAAAGAAGAAATCTGGTAAAGGGAATTCGGGCAAGAATTCCAAGGGTCCCGGTCCACAGCCAGGTGATGCTTGTCACAACTGTAAGGAAGTGGGGCATTGGAAGTACAACTGTCCCAAGAGAAGAGGGCAACAGAAGAAACAAGGTTCGGTTGCCGTGGCAGAAGTGGACAACAGTTCTGAAGACGATCTCGCCTTGGCTGTAGATGAGAAGGCACATCGTGGGGATGTGTGGTTTCTGGATACTGCAGCCTCATACCATATGTCTCCGAACAGGGATTGCTTCACAACCTACGAGCAGATATATGGTGGTAACGTGGTCATGGCTAATGGAGCTGTCTGCAAGGTTGTTGGAATCGGGTCCATAAAGGTTCGGACACATGATGGTTCGTTCTGTACCGTGAATAATGTCAGTCATGTTCCACGAATAACGAAGAACCTGATCTCTTTGAGTCTACTCGACAGCAAGGGCTTCAGCTTCAAAGGAAAAGGTGGAGTTGTGTATGTCTGCAAGGGTTCGAGGAAGGTACTGAAGGGCGTGAAGCGTGGGACCTTGTATGCATTACAAGGGTCTGTGTTGTCTGGTTCTGCTGCAGTTGCATCGTCTCAGGTTCAACAGGAAGATATGACCACTCTCTGGCACATGAGACTGGGGCATATGAGTGAACGAGGGATGCAAGTTCTGTCAAAGAGGGATCTTCTTTGCGGGCACAAGGTGCAAAATTTGGAATTATGTGAGCATTGTGTGTTTGGGAAGCTACATCGCAGAAAGTTTCCCAAGAAGGGTATCCACCGGACGAAGGGGATACTGGATTACCTCCACTCCGACTGTTGGGGTCCTTCACGAGTTGAATCCATTGGAGGCAGCAGGTATTTTCTGTCTATTATTGATGATTATTCGAGATTTACTTGGATTTTCATGATGAAGCAGAAAAGTGAGGCTTTCACGAAGTTCAAGCAGTGGAAGACATTGGTGGAGAATCAGACCGGTAAGAAGATCAAGAAGCTGCGAACGGACAATGGTCTGGATTTCTGTAATTCTGAGTTCAACGAATTTTGCAAGGATGAAGGAATTGCCCGTCATCGGACCGTGAGAGATACACCCCAGCAGAATGGCGTTGCAGAAAGGATGAACCAGACATTGTTGGAGAGAGCACGGTGCATGCTCTCTAATGCTGGACTAGAGAGAAGATTCTGGGCAGAAGTAGTAAACATGGCGTGCTTCCTGATCAACCGTGGATCACACACAGGTATCGAGTGTAAGACTCCTTATGAGGTGTGGTATGGTAAGCCTGCTGATTACTCTTCACTGAAAGTTTTTGGGTGTCCTGTTTATTATCACGTGGATGAGGGTAAACTGAACCCAAGGGAAAAGAAGGGTGTATTTGTGGGTTACGGAGATGGAGTTAAGGGATTTCGAGTCTGGTCACCTTCTGAGCATCGAGTTATACTTAGTAGAAATGTGATATTTGATGAGAAGTCTATGTTTAACCCCATGTTGAAGGTTACTATTGCTGAAGGTAGCAGGAATGTTGATAAGCAGGTGGAGCTGCAAACTCTCAATGAGAGTGAGTTTGAGCACCAAGGTGGAGAAGATCAACATGATGAGGATGTCTCTGCAGAGCCAGAAACTTCAGAGTATAGTGCACGAGCTCAACAGTCTATGGCTTCCGGTAGACCGAAGAGAGCGACTGCAGGAGTACCTCCACAGAGGTATGGCTTCGAGGACATGGTGGCGTATTCATTTCAGGTTGATGAGGAAGTGGATGCAGGAGAGCCACAGTCCTATAGAGAAGCAGTTTCGGGCGGTGAAGCTGATCAGTGGCTTGCCGCAATGGGAGATGAGATGGAATCCCATGACAGGAATCAGACTTGGGAGCTAGTCAAACGACCACAGGAAAGGAAGATTTTTACAAACAAGTGGATCTACAAGAAGAAGGAAGGAATCACTTCTAAAGAGGGCATGAAATTTAAAGCTCGGGTGGTTGCGCGAGGCTTCTCGTAGAGGGAAGGAGTTGACTACAATGAGATTTTCTCACCAGTGGTCAGACATACTTCGATCAGAGTGCTACTAGCAATAGTGGCACATTATGACTTGGAGCTCGAGCAGCTAGACGTGAAGACAGCTTTCCTACATGGAGAGTTGGAGGAAGAAATTTACATGACTCAGCCAGAAGGATTCGAGGTTCCGGGAAAAGAAGACTATGTTTGTAAGTTGAAGAAGTCCTTGTATGGACTTAAGCAATCTCCGAGGCAGTGGTACAAGAGATTTGACAGTTACATGCTTGAGCTGGGCTACAACAGAAGTCCATATGATTGTTGTGTATATCACAGCAAGGCAGAGGATGGTTCGATGATATATCTAGTTCTGTATATGGATGATATGCTCATAGCTGCGAGGTCCAAGTCTGATATCCAGAAGTTAAAGGGGCTTCTCAGTGCTGAGTTTGAGATGAAGGATTTGGGAGCTGCTCAGAAGATCTTGGGTATGGAGATTTACAGGGACAGGTCGAAGAAGAAGCTTTTCTTGTCACATAAGAGCTACATCCAGAAGATACTGTCGAGGTTTGGCATGTCTTCAGCAAAGCCCTTAAATACTCCTAGTGCTTCAAATGTTCATCTATCCTCAGCTTATGCACCGTAGTCAGAGGCTGAGAAGGAGTACATGTCGAGAGTCCCATATGCTAGTGCAGTAGGTAGCTTGATGTACGCTATGGTATGCACTAGACCTGATCTTGCACATGCTGTTAGTGTTGTCAGCAGGTTTATGATACAACCTGGGAAGGAGCATTGGCAGGCTGTGAAGAGGATCTTCCGGTACCTTAAGGGTACACCTGATGTGGGGATTAGCTTCGGAAGTGATACAGAGTGCTTGGTGTCTGGGTATTCTGACTCGGACTATGCTGGAGATGTTGACACGAGGAGATCGATGACCGGCTATGTATTCACTCTTGGGAGTTCTGTAGTGAGCTGGAAGGCAACTCTGCAGTCGGCGGTGACATTGTCTACTACTGAGGCAGAATATATGGCGTTGACAGAAGCTGCTAAGGAGGGAATATGGTTGAAGGGACTGGTTGGTGATCTGGGTCTACATCATGATCAGGCAGTGGTGTATTGTGACAGTTTGAGTGCAATATGCTTGGCCAAGGATCAAGTCCACCATGAGAGGACTAAGCACATCGATGTGAGGTATCATTTCTTGAGGACAGAGAAGAGGATTAAGGTGAAGAAGGTTGGCACCGCGGATAATCCTGCTGATATGTTCACGAAGCCAGTTCCACATGGCAAGTTCCAACACTGCTTGGACTTGCTGAATGTCTTGAGTGGGTGACTCCGCCCTACGGGGCATTAATGGCGGGAGAGAGAGAAGGAGCAGAGTACGTAAGAGATTTCAGAGGAAGAGGATTCAAGTCAAGGTGGAGATTTGTTGATATGACTTG